ATAGGTTTAAAATAAAATCAGATAAACGTAAATTCGCTTAGTCTGCAGGTTTGCTGCGATGGGTGTTTTTAAGAGTTAAACGTGCATTATTTATCAAGACTTTGTTAATTAATTGTATATTTAATTTGATTGTTAGGGAAATTGTATCACCTTTGTTGCATCTATGATCAAATGTAATCTAGATTACGAACCATTTAACTGCGCCGGTAACAAGCCCGGGACCGACCCAATTTGTCATCAACTTGTGAAACTTTGACCTTTGATTTAACGTTAACTCAGTACAAGAGTACTTACTGCAATCATTGGATATATAAAATCAAACCCAACATTAAAACACGTTCATGTAGCCTACTTAAAGGATATTTAGCCATATTATTTATTTAATAATTTCGTTATAAAGAAATTCCCTGAAAAACTGGTTTATAATGGTTGTTGTTTTTAAAGAACAATAACTTTTAAATCATCATCAATGGGAGTTCACTTCAAGATATTTATTTATTTTACCTATTATTTGGTTGCCTATGACATACTCTAAACGTTGCCAAGATTAATGCTTTGTTTTGGGGAAATATTTGGGGGAAATACATAACTTAAGGGACAAGGAGGGAATTTCGAGGCTGGAATAGTAAATTATACGAATAAATGCTAAATACAGTGCTGATCCGGTGTACACTTTTTGCTCTAAAATGTTATGTTTATTAACTCAAAATAATGCAATGTTGATTGTAAAATTAATAAATAGGCCACTCAAATAACTTAAAGTTTATAACAATAATCTTGTACGATTAGGATTTAAAATTTTATTTTGAAATGGTTATCAATGTTTAACCATTTCAACATACCATGATGTGCTTCAAACAGATCATGAATCGTTGAAAGAAACAAACAAACCTAAGTAATTTATTAGATCTAAAGAATTTGTGGTGTTAAATAGTTAACATAAATGAAGATTAGTAAAAAATAACAATTTCTATACCTAGTATTAAGAACATAACAGGCGTACATGCATTTACCTCAAAATAGTCACATTCACATAACAAAGAAATAGAGTTAAAATTAAAGTGATAATAATCGTCCATTATGACTTTCAACCTGTAAATTAATCTAAAATAACGGGATCATTTGAACACAAGTAACGAATGTCAATGTAATACCGTAGTTGGAGGATTAGGTGACGGACGAAAATATGAGAATGATGTAATTAATTAGGTACATAGAGGATTAATAAGTTTACTGGCCACTCCTCGACCCCTGGGGCGAGTAACAGCCTTCACAAATCTTAGCCCAATAGAGCGCGGTGCTAAAGGCTGTGCTGAATTTTGAGTCAAATCCAAGTCTGAATGACTGTGGCGACTTGCTTCAGCACCTAGCGCTTAACACCACTTCTCTCGAAGTTCCTGCTCACTAGGAGCACATACTTCTCGGCTATGCTGAGTGATAGCGTTTCAAGAGAGTTAGAGCTTATGTGTGTTAGAAACTCGATTTTCACTGCGGGAACCAAAAGACACAAAGACGTTTTAGTCGACTAACACGACTTTAAATCGAAATGCGTACATGATGTTGAATAAACAGCTTGTTATTGAATTAGTTAACTGCTCCTGTTTGCATTTAACTATTAAAATGATTGATTAAATAAATAAAACATAACACTGTGGATTGAGATCTATTTGACTGAGATCTAGCGGTGAAGAGGCGAACTGTTAGAGACGTACGACAGTTGCTACATCTAGCGGTGATTAGGTGAACTGTTGCGGACCTCCACAGCTAGTTCGTCTCTTCACCGTTAGATAGCTCCAACTACTCAATAATCTCAGTCCGCTGTGTTTTATGTATAATAATTTAAATTATTCAATAAAAAACAGGCAAACTTAATCAAAACTTAGACAAAACCAAGCGGTTTATTCAAAATCATATAGGATTTTTGATTTTGAAGTCTTGTTAGTCGACAAAGAAGCCACTGAAAGTATCCTACTGGTTTCAGTAGTATCAAAATGATCTACCGTACGATAATATAAACGATAAATGCTGAATACAGTGCTCGAACACTTAACGGTTATCCACCAAACACATGTGATGGTAAAATTAATAATTATGTCACTCAAACAAGTTCGAGTTTATAACAACAATCTTGTAGGATTAAGATTAAAAATGCGAATTGATGTTTAACCTGATTCGTATTGTGTTGTGCTTCCAAGCAACTTATTGGAGGTTAATTTAGAACACAGGCACAGGAAGATCACTTGTAAGTATTCTAAATACTGTAAGTCATCCTTATCGATTATACTAACTGTGTTACAGCACTTGAGGGGCTTAGATCCGGGTACAGACATCACAAGCCGCTTCTCACCAGGGCATTTCACGGTCAACATTGCACTGTAGTCTACGAACAGACTTGACACTGCTGCAAACGATTGAAAGTTTACCCATGCAAGAAAGCGAAACGTTTACTAGACTGAATTTAAAAAACTCGTTTTGTGTGACTGTACATAAACAAACGGTTAATTCGTAGGCTATGCTTCTATAACTATGTCTTTGATCGTTTAACACGTTCGCTGCGGCACGTCAAATAGCGGGCGTATCCCCAGTGCGGCGCAGCCTTTAGCGTCGAGTAAACCCGATTGCCGCGTGTGATTGGCCTTTTCAATTTTGGTCTGACGAATAGCAAATAACGTGAGGGGATGTCCTGCTTTACAACGAGAGTCGATGTAGTTCGCTAAACACCCACAGATAGCAGCACTGCTTGGAACGTAGCCGGTCCCATTGGAATTGTATTGCCAAATGGAGGGAAAAAGACGGGAAAAAAAGAAGACTTTTGAGATTGCCAGACCGGGATTTTACGGGGAAATTTACTACCAACCTACACCACAACAAAATGCAAGTCACATACTACACGCTAACGTCGTATAGGTCCGCTTTCGGCCGACGCTGGAGCAAAAACGAAGATATACAAAAGGCATTACCGAGCGTTCCCGATGGGGTACGGACGCACCGTACGGGGGCCAAGCACCGTACCCGATCGGGAACGGCCGCACTCTACGTGTTAAGGATGGTTTTCGCTGCCACCGATTAATTGATGTCAGTTTTGATATCGAAAATCGATCGTGAAGATTCGATACCGATACAACCAGACACGTCTGAGAAGATCGCGGGATAGAAAATGCACGCTTTCATCGCGATCACGGATTACGAATAGCGACAATAAAGTTTCCGGGATCGCGGGAAACGATGATGATTTGTCCGGTTTAAAATTGAGCTTGAGCGTTTTCGAGCATTATTTAATGAAACCGTATAAGTATAAGTAAATGGGTTGAGATTCTAGTAAGTTTGATAATTAAAGGTTTGTTCGGGAGTGCGAGGTAACAACATTCGCTCTAAATTACGATTTCTACTTTAACCAGTGGTGTAGCCAATGGGGGAGGGTTTAGGGTGTCATACCCCCCCCCCTTAACAAAATGATTTTTCCGCGATCGTTGAAGATGATCATTATGTCTGTGATCGCGGTAAAGTAACCATTAGTAGCAGTAAAATCAGGAATGTTTATAGCTCTAATACTAAAATATTCGGTCTTGAATTTTGAAAGTACAATAATATGTAGAACTCGATTACCCTGGGTAATGGGGAGACCAGCATGACATAAAAATGTATTAAAAACCCATAAAATCTCCTAAAATACTGAATAAATGATCATTATTTTGATGATTAATTTGCGTTTCATACAATCAAAATACACAGAAGTATTGCGCAATCGTGATAAGTTGTCATTAACCTTGTTAGTCGTTTTTATTACTACTGAACCTATGACATAAAACATCGCTTATTCATTCTCTTTGATATTCCATTCTATCTTGGGTTTCTCTTCATCTACACATTCAACAAGTTGCCATGGTAATTACTTAATCACAAGCATTATTTATGTCGTCATTGTCGTCTACCGTTGTGACGGTGAACAACAGACAGACAGATGTGTAACTGCATAGCTTGACCATAGATGAAGTTATATTACTTCATATATACTTATTATATTACTTCATCTATGGCTTGACCTTGATGCTATCAGCCGATATTTCTTTGTTATGCTTCCATTTTATTTTTGTAAAATAAATTGTTTGAAAAACAATAATGTGGGGACCTACTGCATATACATGATGGTCAAATATAGTTAAATATACAATGCATTTCAACACATTAAACTACAGAAACACAATTTATAACATTTCCTCGGTATTTTGCATGAATGAGGTTATGTAACTTAATTTGAGAGGCATCTATATTGACCACAGTTGATCTACTTTATTGTTACTTATTATTGCTTATTATTCCTTTTGTAAGCTTTGGCTGTGGCCCTCAAATATACAGGGTGTTTATAAAGGAATGCCGGGATTTTAAATGGTAATTGCTTGGATACTATTCAAGGTAACTGAACGTTTTGTAGGTCAAATTGAAGCTAAAATAAATAAGTTTTTTTCCCGTGTAGCAAGGGAGGAAACTTTGACCTTGGCATGCGCAAAACAGGTGCGCGGTGGTAGGCCGTTATTGCGACTCACAATCCTGATGTCCACGCCAGTCACAGTGCAATGTTTACGACGCAACAGAAGGCACAGAATATAATTTGTGGATCACAGAGTTTACAGTACATCTTGTAACGATTTTGTAATTTTGTTTAATGGAAAATATAAAAAAAATTGTGTAGCGGTCAACATAATTTAAATTAAAATAAGAAATGTCAGTTACAGTGGTAGGATTTAAATCCTTGCTTTTGTTGTTTAAATCGGAATATTTTTGTTGACTGTGACGTGACTGATATGTCTGAACCGTGACGTGCTGTAACTGACATGTGTGAATCGACCTTTAATCGAGCACCAGTGTACGAGCAAGTGGAGTTTTTGTTAGTCCTGATGACAAGTGGAGATAAAGTTATATTGTATGTTGAGTCTTCTTTCAATAGATATAATCAGCCCTGACTTCATTACAAGTACACTATCTGTCTATTGTAAACATACCAGTTCCCTCTAGGAAGTGAGGCTCGAGGTAGTTGAGGCCGTTGTTGTCCAGGCTGAGCATGAACACCTTGCTGCTGTTGATGGGGGGAGGTATCCTAGGCAGGGGCACGTCCCTGCAGGTGACTATACCCAGGTCTGGCACTGCCTTGGAGCAGGTACACAGGGGGTTGAACACGCACGGAGGGTAGTCTACGTCACGGTGATGGTGGGTCACCTATGACAGAGTTAGGTGTTATTAGGTGTGTGGTGACTATACCCAGGTCTGGCACTGCCTTGGAGCAGGTACACAGGGGGTTGAACACGCACGGAGGGTAGTCTACGTCACGGTGATGGTGGGTCACCTATGACAGAGTTAGGTGTTATTAGGTGTGTGGTGACTATACCCAGGTCTGGTACCGCCTTGGAGCAGGTACACAGGGGGTTGAACACGCACGGAGGGTAGTCTACGTCACGGTGATGGTGGGTCACCTATGACAGAGTTAGGTGTTATTAGGTGTGTGGTGACTATACCCAGGTCTGGCACCGCCTTGGAGCAGGTACACAGGGGGTTGAACACGCACGGAGGGTAGTCTACGTCACGGTGATGGTGGGTCACCTATGACAGAGTTAGGTGTTATTAGGTGTGTGGTGACTATACCCAGGTCTGGTACCGCCTTGGAGCAGGTACACAGGGGGTTGAACACGCACGGAGGGTAGTCCACGTCACGGTGATGGTGGGTCACCTATGACAGAGTTAGGTGTTATTAGGTGTGTGGTGACTATACCCAGGTCTGGCACCGCCTTGGAGCAGGTACACAGGGGGTTGAACACGCACGGAGGGTAGTCTACGTCACGGTGATGGTGGGTCACCTATGACAGAGTTAGGTGTTATTAGGTGTGAGGTGACTATACCTAACATTATGTGTCTCCCACTTCTTTAATTAACTTCAAGAAAAGTCCAATAATCATAAGAATATTTACTCGGAATATAGTTAAAATTATGTTACTCACACAATAGGTAGGCAGCCTAAAAGTGTGTGTCTTCTCAATTTATCAGACTATTCACAACAAAAACATCTACTCTGTACAGGTTAAGTGTAATCTTGTATTTGTAAATAAACTTTTTTTCATTCTATTTCATTTACTTTGGACACAGGTCTGGGAATGTTTGGCACATACTTCAGGTCAGGTCAACGTGTGACCTACCCTCAGTGCTTACACCGTTTCTGACATTGAGTTCTTTTATGGCTTCGACCATATGGCCAAGGTCAAGTTTCTTGGTGCTGAATACACCCTGAAAGGTCTGTGACACACAGGTCCTTCGTCATCATCTTAGACTAATCCTAATATGTCAACACATTCTACCACCTCCCACAATACTACACCGTTTTGGTTTTACACCGTGGACCTACCTGATGTGTGGCTCCTATCATGGAGGCCCATACCATCAGCAGGACGGACACGACGATGATCATGTACCCAATCTGCATCACATGTTCCAGCCCCTGAAACAACACATGAAATTTGACCAAATACTTTTATCTCCAATTATCATAACATTAAATAATGGACAAACAAAGAAGATACTAAGTACAAATTGCGTGAGATGAAATCCGACGCGCTTGTGGGATATTCCTACATGGATGCCTGTGCGTAGGCTTGGTTGTTGATTGTTAGTCTTAATTATTTGAACCGAATCCTTTGCAAAGGACGAGGGAATTCAGACGACAGCTACAGCCATTGCAATCACATGAGGGTCGAGGGGTTTAAAGGATCAAGGTTTGTTTAGTCGTACATTTCGTGATGTTTCGGTCTAGTGATCTAGGAGGCTGTTCTAGCACCATGTCCTCTATACCTACAATTTTCTTTAGCCAGGATCAAGTATGGTCAGGTCTGAAACTCTCAGCATTTTCTTTGGTAGTGCTTTAGTCGAGCATCTGGATTTGAATTTCATATTTGAAATAAACTATAAAACTAATGGATATTGTATTTCGATAGAGAATCCAAGCAACATATAACCGTTTGTAGTCAGAATTGATCTATGTAGCTGAGAGACAATGAGTCATACATCTAGTTTGTTTAAACTACATTGATCCGAAGTATATACATTTTAATGTTAATTGCATTTCGTTGATGACAAAAAGTGGTTTTTCTCAAATACCATACTTGTCGATGAGAAGTAGTTTTTCTCAACCTGGACATGCTGGGATCTTATCCCTGACACTGACAGGGACTATGGGTGTCCCGTAACTCTCTGGACACTTGTATATAGCGTTATTCCTTAGGTCAAGACAAACACATTTCACCATAATAACATGGGTCTGTGGTGTCTAGTTTACAGACTGTCGGTATTTATGTGTTTTTTACAAAAAAACTAATAACTCCTAAACGGTTTGAGATACAGCTTTGATATTTTGCAAAAATGTTTATCGTTAGAAATTATACTAAAAAACATTAACCGTTTCAAAATGGCGGCCATTTAAAATATTTGATGCAAAATTTCACGAAAACCGTTAACTTTACAAAAAAATTGCAAGAGACAAAATAGTTTGTAAATTTTATGTTGTTTTCAATGATACCATTTGTTAAGATTGAATAAATAATAACAGAGAAACGTGTTGTTTTCTAAATGTATTACCACTTTTCTCCATTTAAACAATGCTAATACTCCTTTTACGTTGTTTAGCATTGTTTAAATGGAGAAAAGTGGTCATGCATTTAGAAAAGAAGACATTTCTCTGTTGTTATTTATCCAATCTTAACAAATAAGATATCATTGAAAATTACATACAATTTACAAACTTTTTTGTCTCTTGCAATTTTTTTGTAAAGTTAACGGTTTTCGTGAAATTTGGCATCAAATATTTTAAATTGTCGCCATTTTGAAATGGTTAATGATTTTTTAGTATAATTTCTAACGATAATAGGTCTTAATAATATTAACATTTATGCAAAATATCAAAGCTGTATCTCAAACTGTTTAGGAGTTATTAGTTTTTTTTGTAAAAAAAAACACTTAAATACCGACAGTCGGTAAACTAGACACCACAGACCCCATGTTCCTATGGTGAAATGTGTTTGTCTTGACCTAAGGAATAACGCTATATACAAGTGTCCAGAGAGTTACGGGACACCCTGTATAATCGGCAAAACCTAATGTATTGCAGTAATATTGTCACTAAGTAACTCGGGAAATGCTTGCCATTGCTTTATTTGCTTTGCCGTTTCCCGGTAAACAAAATAAAGCACTATACGAAATGGCAAAAGGCCAACAAAATCACCATTTTAAAATGAAAATAAGACACAACCTGCATGGCCTTTTTCCTCTGACCTGTATACCTAAAAATCTTGTTTTCAGTTATTGATGATTCTATCTTTAACTTGCTGTTTTTATAGGAAATTTAAAAGGTTAAATAAAATATTTCTCGTCATTTTTCATGAAATCAGCACTTTTTAGCGAATTTCCCTATAGGGAAGTAGCTATTACCGTAGGTCTCATGGTAAGACTTAGGCCCGGGACCGATTTACTTTTTCATTTTAATGTCCCCAGAGGCCAAAAACACCATTCGTTCAAATTTTTATATATGTATATATATATATATATATATATATATATATATATATATAGGTATATATATAGATTTATATATATATATATGTGTCCGTGAACACGATAACTTGAGTAATTTTTATCCGATTTTGATGAAATTTGGTTTGAAGGTGTAAGGCGGGATAAACTTGAATGAGTTCGCGATCCAGCATGATCGGACCATGGGAACAGGGTTTTATAGGGGGTTTTATGGGGTAAAAATGGGTTTTTCTCACTTTTTACCCTCAAAACACAAAATTTCCCAATTTTTCTCTAAACCTTCTTAAAGAGCTTAAAAAAAACAAACAATTCAGTATATCAAAGTGTTTTTGTACGGTTATTGGTTACGGAGAAAACTAAAAAAATGGTAAATTTAAAATTCCCATGTTATTCTTATGGAGAATATTGTAAAATGTTGAAGTTTGCTTGTTTATGGATATATTTTGATCAAAGTTGGCAAATTTATTTATTTTATAGTAAGCTATCAATATTTTACTAAAAACACACTACTTTATTAGTTTCCTTGTAGCAGCAAACCTAGGTACTCGTTAAACCTAATAATGTTATTTAAATAGATCAATTGAAAATCAATTCGGACAAATGGAAATTCGCTTAGACGGCAGGTTTGCTGCGGCGGGGGTATTTCTGATTTAAGTTATAAAAATTAAATGACCACCATTTGAAATCAAACAATCGATTATTTGTTTTAATAGCTATTGCTACTAAATCGTATAGCAAATTTCATAAAGATAACTTCAACATTAGTAAAAATATAAGTTTCAATTTTTTTAAATGCGTACATCTCGCCCATCTTGCAAACTAGGTAGTTTTCGAAAAAAAAATATTCTTGAGTTTCGTTTTATTTTTACTCATAAAACCTATTTGCTACTAGGCAGAATTGCAAGGTTACTTCTACTAAAATCAAATTTGGCTTATAGCCAGTTGTGGTCAACTTAAGGCTCCCTACACTGTCAATTTAAAACAATTAATTAATCTTAGTATTTTACCTACGACCGTTTTTAAAAGTAGCTGTTTTAGTACAGTTCTTAGAATTGGAAAGTATCTCATAACAGCATTGTTTACTTTCATAGCATAGTTTTACTCATAACAACACGGGTAACGGACCAATGAGGTTAAGGATTGAGAGAGAAGAAGTAAAATTGTAATGATTCGAAATTCAACTAATCAGCTGTTCAGGCCAATTTAATTGTTGAGTGGTGTATTTTACTGTTTGGTACAATATTTCGTTGCATCACTGTCAGTGGAAATGAGAGGTTATAAGCGAAAACATAACCCCTCTTAGATGTTAGTAGTGATTTTCAGGAATTAATAAAACACTGTCGTAGGTAAAGTAGTGTACGCAACTCGCGTAAATAAAGGCCGTACCTTAAATTTTCTACTCGTGTAGTTATCACTATCTTTACGCAATCGTTGCGTAAACTACTATAACGAACATTGCATTTGAATAGGATAAAGGGAGCTGTTTTCATGATAACAATAACTGTCCGAGGGAATTTAGTAGTAATATTAATAAGGCTAGTCGCAGACAATGATGAAGTTACTGATAGTGTTGTGTTATGCCAGAGGAAGTGTTTGTAAACAGTCTGACTCACTGCCTACATGAGTACTGCAGCTAATCTGTCATTACCATGATTAAGAAGGCTGTGTTTGTTTATACAGCCTATTTTGTGTTGCAGGTCTATTTGCGGTTGTATCCCATGTTACCAATAAGTCTTCACTTAGGACCAACATCGTGTTCACACCCCACAGAAATAATAACTATCGTTCACGCTATTATAAGTTTACAATTTGAGGTAGGCCTATCGGACTTCTTATGGGGTTTGGAAAAATACGTGGATGGATGTAAAAGAATAATTTAGCCAAGGATGTATTGTAATTGATTTATTTTTTCCCTAGTTCGAACTTCTTTAATTTTAAGCTTGATTTATTGTTATTATGAATTTATGTTTTTAATTTTCGTCATGGCGTGGTCACTGATTCGATCAAATGTTTCTTGAGGTTTCAGCGTTATAGTCATACTAGCTGTTGTACCCGTGCTTTGCAACGGGAAGAGGACAAACAATGCAAAAAAGTTAATAGTACTGCACCCTGTTGGTAAACCTTATAACTTTTTAATGCTCTTTAATATCATAGAACCAACTTGTGTAGTTGAAACAGCTGACAAAATTATTTTATTCCTTTTAAATATGATTACTCATAAGGTTAACATGGGAAACTCCAGAGCCACTGGGGCGGAGCCCGAAAGGACTTTTGAGATAAGAATGCGTCTATATGTTAATCGGGAATGTGAACTATCATCACACCAAATTCCAGCCCGAACCGACCAGTAGTTTTCGCGTTTACTTGTCACAAACATACATCCATACATCCATACATCAAAACTTTCTCATTTATAATATTAGTAGGATTAGACATGTTGCTTTGGATTTTGGAACCAAAGTGCTTACAATGTTTTTGACACAATTTGATATTTTCTTTCGCAGATTAAGTGTTTAATTCTAGGAAGATAAGACAAAACGTGAGCTTTGTACAGCTAATTTAACGACTGACGAGCCAACGTGACTTTTTCGTAGGGATTTTCTGAAGGTTTATTTCCTTAAAAGTGTTTTAAATAGGTTTTTATTTAAGTAATGTAATTTCCAGCCTTGCAAGAAAATCTACAGAGCTAAATAGGTTATGTTTATAACCGAAACTACCTGGTAAACTTATTACAGAACCATGAAATTCTCAGCGGAATACTTGTTGTTGAGGTTATCTTAAAATTATACGCAGAAGAAAGTTGTGTGTCATTCTTCACCATAAATTAAACATACTCCGTCTTCACCTATAAGGTAATTTAGGTTTTGGGTAAGGTTAATAAGGTATTGTAGGTTAAAGGTAGGTTCATTCCAAGTA